GGTCGATCCATCCGTTCTTTTAGGAAATAAAGCCCTACGACACCTAGCGATAGAAAATTCGGTCGTTACGGTTACGAGACCCCTGCGCTCTCGTTGTTTGGCATTTGAAAATAGGCCGTGAAGTCGCTAGTTGAGAAATCGTTGATAGTTCTCGTAACTGTGACGAGAGATAGCGTTTACGAGAGAGTTTAGTAAATCCGGCCCCTGATTGGGTTCACGACCGGGCGCCAATGAATTGTTACTGATGATCTTTGATTAGGGTTGGTGTACTTCTAAACTAGTTACAGGTCTCATTCAATGCAAATTCTATCCATTTAGGGTAATGTTCACGTCTTTTCAATAATAATAATAATAATAATAATAATAATCATATAATCCCAATACAATCAAAATCGACTTAATTTTTATTCTGATAGTTATGGAAGGTTAGATATAGTGTTGAGTAAAATCAAGATATTAGGATTTTTTTTCTGAAGGTGTAGGCCTACATGAGTTTTAAACATTTCCATTACATATTCACATGTTATATAAAGATCAAATCCTTCATTATATATGATTTTTGCTTGCTTATATTTGTCATATAACTCATCATTGATTACCCTTTGCCTGGTTCAAACAAATGAAAACTCAAAGTACAAATATTATTTATTCTTTTGGACTTTAATAAAGCTCTTCTTTTCATGGAAAGGAATGCGCTCCTTACATATGTACAAGTTATGGTGGTCAACACACGGTCCAAAGCAAGGTCTCGGATGTTGGCGAACTTGGTCTCGAGTGCTCTACACACCATGTACTGTAGAACATATCACTGTGTTTTCTCCAGTTCAGAATTCTTACTGGGTGTCGGGGGCAGCAGCAGCGGCGGCGGCGGCTTCGTCGTAGGCCTGTTGATGGGCAACCTTGGCGGCGGCTACCTCAGGGGTGTCCTGGACGGGTTCGGGGATGGGGCCGGGAAGGGCGGCCAGAGGGGCGGCCTCGGGGGCGTCGGGAGCAACGGGAAGGTTGGTACCGGACACGCGGAAGCCAAGGGCGTCGGCGACGTAGTGCTGAGTCTGAACCTTTCCCTCAGAGTCCACGTAGTTGTATGAACCACGGACAACACCGAAGGCGTCGCGAGACTCAGCGCGTGAAGAAGGACCGCCGGCGTAACCGAAGGAGTACTGACCGATCTCATCCTGAGCGTGGTACTGAGACTGGATAGGTGCTACAGGTGCGAAGGGAGCTACGTTGTAAGCAAGAGGAGCGGCAGCGACGTTGTATGTGACAGGTGCAGGAGCGACGGTCTTAACTACAGGTGTTTTGAGGGTGAGAGGAGCAGCTGCAGGAAGGACACCTGCATATGAGTAAGGGTGCAGACCAGAATATCCTGCATAAGGGTAGGCGCCAAGAAGGCCGTGGTAGCCTCCATATACGCCGTTATAAGGAATCACAGCAGCACTGCCGCTTGCCACAAGGGCCGCCACGGAAATCACAGTCTGAAAAGAAGCATTTGTTACCGGAGACTAACCAAGCAATATATATATATATATATATATATATATATAATATATATATATATATATATATATATATAATGTGTGTGTGGGCGAGTGTTTGTATGCACGCATATATATATATAATCACGGAAAGAGTAGAACCTAGCCTCTGTTGTAGTACTCACCAGAGCGTTCATGTTGACCCACCGTCGATGAGGAGCTGTCTGCCGGGTATGGCCGAGACAGCCCCTTATATACTGCAGGAAGTCGCCTTGACCCTCGGCTTAACACTGGCGCGGAGGGCGTGGCTCGATAGGCCCGCCGTTGCCGCTCCGTTTGTATGGCTGTGATTCCCTAGTTCCGGGGTGAGAGGAGACGAGTAGAGACGGGAATAGTTTATATGAATTTATCATACATCATGCGTAAAATAGGAGATACCGAGTGAGTTGTTTTAAGTACATGAATTATTACGGAAATAAACTTCACAGTAGAAATGGTAATAAGATTATGCTGTTATGATATGACGCAGCGTTTTATATTCATTGCACAAATAATAGTAATGATAATAAAAAATGAACGTACTTATGAATTATTAAATTTTTCCATTCATAAATACACTTAATACTTTCCAACGTGCTTCAATGCTATAGATACTCAAGAATGTGGGCGAGAGATACCTTGAGGCGCTTACCTGTGGCGAAGGCTTTCATTTGCCCTTTGTACACCTGGAACACCCGAATGAGACAATCACTGGATAATGGTTGAAAATTATTCATTTATTTATTTGTTTATCGTTTTATCTGATTTATGAACGTGTTTGTCAGTGATACACACTAATGCTTTCAGGTGGCCTTGGTAAACCAGATGCAGCATGTTGATCTTGTTATTTAAGTTATCGTTGCCAGTGTCATTATCGCTACTAGTTTGTTATATCTCATTATTATTGTCGTTCTTGCTTTAGCATTGATTTATTGCCATTATCTTTACTATTATTACTATACAAATAATTGTCATCATTGTTATCATTACTATCATTATTGTTAATAATATTGATATCTTTTTCATTATTATTGTTTATAGCATTAATATAATCATTATTATTACCGTTGATATCATTGTTGTCTTTATCATTAGTATTATACATTATAGTCAGTATTATATAACTATCCTTATCATCGCTATTTTCATTATTATCATTATCTTTATTGTTATTACTGTGATAATGATTATTGTTACTACTATTACTGCTGTGATTATTATATCTAACGCTATCATCCTCATTACTATCATTTTTTTGTCATTATGATTATTTCCGTTATAATAATTATTACTATTTGATTATCATTATGATTATCATTATTATTATCATTATTATTATCAGTATTTCATTTTCGTTCTTTCTTGTTATCATTATGATTTGATTATCTTTACCATTATTATTTCATTATAATTATTGCTACTGCTGCTGCTATTATTATCAGTATTACTTATCATCATTATCATTATTATCACTGTTATTATTATTGTTATTATTATCATTATCCTGATAAATACTATCATAGACTCTTATCATCGCTCCCAAATCTTTAAATTCACTCCTCCCTCCACTTTAAGCCCCATATTAGCTCCCTCCCATTTCCCTTATCCTCTCCCCTCCCTCCCTCATTTCCCTTTACTCCCTGAGCACCCCCTCTCTTCCCCCTTATACTTACCTCTTTTCTCTTCATGTCCTCTCCGCTTCTTCCTTTCGCTTTCCCCATCTCCCTCTCCTGTTTAAGATCCTTTCCCCCATAAGCCTCTTTCCCCTTCATTTCTTCTCCACTTTCCCATTCCCCTTCCCTCATTATCTTCCTTCTTACCCCCCCCCCACCCCCGTGTAAATTCTTGACGGTCTAATTCAGTGCAGTACACTTGCCTCGGAGACGAATGGCAATGATGATAACAACAGTAATGCTGATAATGATTATGATTAATAGAGCTAGATTAAGACAGATTCGTAATGTCATGCATTTATGTGCGCGTGTGTTTGTGTGTATGCGTTTGTCATTCTTTACATGTCATCCCGTTTTACATGAAAAGCAGCGACTTCAACTCCGCAGTCACGCAGAATAGACGAAATACCAGTAGAATTAGATAATAGATTATGATCATTACTGCCATCATCTTTATTGCTGTTGGTATTGTTATTAGTGCTATGATTATCATAATTCTATTATCATTATTATCAATATCATTATTATTGATATCATATCATTATATATAATCATTATCATTATTATCGTTAACATTATCATTATATTGCTATCAATATCATTATAACTTAAATTATTAGAATATAATGATTATCACTGCTATTGCTATTTTTCTCACTATAATCATTATCATTACGATTAATATCAATATCATCACAACCATTATATTACCATTAATATTATTTTACCATAATTACCATCATCATCCTGTTTCTCACGAGAGCAGGAGCGACAAACGTGATAACAGGTGTTTTGCGTACGAGTAAGGATGCAGATATGAATAACCTAGAATAAATAACATCAAGAAGGCCGTGGTAGCTTCCATATACGGTGTCGTGCGCAAGCCGAGAAACGCTGCCACGACCCACGAGGACCACCACAGAAATCGTCATCTGAAGATTACTTCAAAGAGTGAACATTATTTAAAACAACTAAACTAGACAAGCTTGAATAATTCGACCCCAGCGAAATCGAGCTTCCCTAGACAGAGTGTTCATGCGGTCCCACCATCCAGGCGCTGTCTTGGGGCACTGACTGTCCTCGCCCCTTGAAGACGTCGGTTAGCGTCTTGACCATTAGCGCCGAGTAGCGGCGTCGAGGCGGGGCTTTCCCTTTCTTTCGCATCCTGATCCCTCCTCCTGATACATCCTGATACAGTTTTGTAGGTCCGGGATGAAGCTGGGTTTAACGGCTATATATAAACGTTAAACACGCATAAGTAGGGGGTGGGTATGTGTATGTGTGTATTTGTGTGTATCTATATGTGCACACAGATATCTAGGTTTTCATATATATGTCTGATCGTCTGATATTCAATGATACAAATATAAAGATATATGGTACTATACAATTTATCTGCTGACATCAAAGTTAAAAAATAGCCCATGATAGGAAAGTCGCTTTTCACCAGCACTAAACCCCAGATGGTAATGGTAATAACATTAATGATAATATAATACTATTACTACTAATAATTACAACTATAATTATGATAAAACATTGACAATAATTATACTAAACTACATCAACAATAACAATGATAATGATAAACATGATAACTACAAATATTAACACTGATAATAATGAAACTTATGATAATGATTATGATGCTGATGTCGCAGATGATTTATCAGCAATATTAGAGGTAGAATATTTTTGAAAACGGTGATAGTGATAATGATAATGGTATTGGTAATTATGATAAAGAATTTATTTTAAAACTGATAGAATAGCATCACAAACAAGAGTAGTTACTACAGTAATCAATATAACAGTATTTAAGGCCAATACTAGCAATGGTAGAATAATCATAAGAAAGATACATTACTCTTTGAGAACACAGTACACCCGGTAAAAAAAAACTTCTTCAAAGCCAAATAAAAGTATAGTGGCACATGCAGTTGACCATAACCAAAATTACATCATATGATGTCGTATATTAATTGATTGTAAGAAAGTAATTTAAGGGTAGCGTATTTATAGCTTTAATAAGAGTGCAGTGTTGGGCATATGTTGACTTGCAGTGAAGTATCTTAGATCTGCTATTAGCACCTCATGCCCTGATATTCAGAATGATAACGATAATAAAGATTTTGATAATTATAATAATGATGGTAATATGATCTTCAAAATGGCCAATCCGATCTTGATTATTCAAAATCTATTGGCCTTGTGCCGTAGAATTCCTTGCTGTAAATCAGTACATGGCTGATGTTGGGATTCTGTTAGAAGCTCCAAAATCTGGGCACTATTTTTACCAATTGCCAAATCTCCCAACGGTATAACGTCGTCTGTTTATTCATATATTCATCTATTGTTATGATATAATACGTTTTGAAAATAGAGATGTATATTGATGCATTTTGAGTTGTAATTCGAAAGTGTTTCCGGCATTTGATTATGCTGCTCATACATTACTGTGGCTGTTCCAGACTTGGTGAAGAATTAATGCTTTTGTAACTTACTACACTTCTGTTGTCTGCTTGATAAATAAGAAGGCCAGCATCTTTGGGATGTATCTCTTGATACCATATCGTTTAGGATTTCAAAGGGAGATGTCTGAGATGCTTACGTGTAGCCGTTCATATGTATGTGTATATATGAATATATATATATGTATATATATATATATATATATATATATATATATATATATATATATATACAGACAAACATGTCTGGTTGCGTGTGCGTACGTGTGCGTGCATTGTATATATAAGCACATACATATATACTTATACATGCAAATATGCGCACATATATATTCTTCCCAAACGTTATTTTAGAGCAACAGTTATCAAGCTATTGTTAGTTTTGTAAACAGTAGATATCTTTATCATTTGTTTATTTGAGAAACACAATTTGATTATTTTATAGACGCTCTTTGTACAGATAATGAGGTGTGTCAACATTCAACCCCAGCCTCCTCTTAAAATGCAGAAAGGGGCAAGGGCGACGCTCTACACACCTCACGTGACTGGATTCCCGCCACTCAGTTGAGCACGCGTAGGAGGTGGCGTGGCGGGGTTGTGGACCACACGGAGGAGCTCGGCGTCACGGAGGGCGGGTCCGGCGGCGGCGGCGTAGGTGGTGGGGACGTGGGCGGCGTTGTAGGTAGTGAGGGCGGGATGGGCGGCAGTATAGTGAAGAGGAGAAGCATAGGCTGTTGGGTGGGCGTAGTGGAGGGGAGCGGAGAATCCGTAGGAGAAACGAAGAGAGAGTAGACGCCAAGACCGGGAGCCGCAAGCACGGAGCGCTTCTTGCGGGTGTCTGGGGCGGCAGCGGCAGCGGCTGCGGCTTCGTCATATGCCTGTTGGTGGGCGGCCTTAGCGGCGGCTACCTCTGGGTGTCCTGGACGGGTTCGGGAAGGGGACCGGGAAGGGCGGCCAGAGGAGCAGCTACAGGAGCGTCGGGAGCCACTGGCAGGTTGGTGCCGGACACACGGAATCCAAGGGCGTCGGCGACGTAGTGCT